TGAGAGGCTGTGCCATTGATAGGAATAGTGTGAACATATTGAGAGCGCTTACACATCCTACAGCCTGTGTAGGGTTCAAATGTGCATGTGAGGAGGCGTGCATGGGAAGTGAGTGAGCGTGCGTTGTGTTGCTTGGGCTGTGTGAGTGTGAATCAGGACAGACACCTCTGCCCCCGTCCTCCCATCGCTTGTCTCATCTTATTTATCAATGAAGCATATTCACTGCTGCTTTCTGTGCGGAAGGAAGCCCACGAGTGCATCCATCATGTGTCTGTCCAATTAGCCACGTATCTGCTTTCTATCACTCTGGGGTGTTGTGTGTGTGTTGTGTGTGTGTGTATGTGTGTATGTGTGTTGTGTGTGTGTGCGTGTGGTGTGATCTGTTGTTGTTGTACCATCTTCGGTCAGATATTTGAAGCTTTCCTTTGGAGGATGCCTACTCATTTCTGCATGAGTCATCTAGAATTGTTCACACACACACAAATATACATACTGCATGCCCTTAGCTGCACACACACACTTATACACGCATATTACTCTCACACACAGTCCTTGTCAGTGAAGCCTGATTCCCTCTCTGGCTGTTTTCCGCTCTGAGCTGTCAGCATTACTTCTCCATAAATCAGCTGTCCGACCCCCTGAAATCGTGACTTTACTTTTATATAATACCTCAGTTTCTTTTGTTTGTGTGTGTGTGTGTGTGTGTGTGTGTGGTGTGTGTGTGTGTGTGTGTGTGTGTGTGTGTGTGTGTGTGTGTGTGTGTGTGTGTGTGTGTGTGTGTGTGTGTGTGTGTGTGTGTGTGTGTGTGTGTGGTCTAGCATTACTATACTTGTGGGGACCTAAATCTGTTTACATAGTCACGTGTGGGGACTGGCTTCCCTTATGGGGACACATTGGAGGTCCCCATGAGGGGAATCATTAATGTTAGGGTGAAGACTTGGTTAGGTTTAGGGTTAGGGTAAGGTTAAGGGTTAGGTTAAGGGTAAGGGTTAGGGTTAGGCATGTGTTGGTTATGGTTAGGATAAGTCTCCAGGAAATGCATGTAAGTCAATGTAATGTCCCTGAAGTGATGTGGTGTGTGTGTTGTGTGTGTGTGTGTGTGTGTGTGTGTGTGTGTGTGTGTGTGTGTGTGTGTGTGTGTGTGTGTGTGTGTGTGTGTGTGTGTGTGTGTGTGTGTGTGTGTGTGTGTGTGTGTGTGTGTGTGTGTGTGTGTGTGTGTGTGTGTGTGAGAGAGAGAGAGAGAGAGAGAGAGATAGAGAGAGTCGGTTGCACTAGAACAGACGGGAGGCCAACCCTGCTCACTCCTGATTGTAGATAGTTGTAAATAGTGTTCAAAGGACTTCATATTTCCGAGATGAGTGTGCAGAGGGAAGGATGCCGTGGTGGGAAGGTGCCGTCACCTGTGTCTCCTTATTGTAGTCAAAGTGTCCAATTCGAAATGACACAGCAACGCTTGCAAAGTTTTCTACAGAGGAGAGCTTCTTAACCCGCTGTATTAAAAAAATAAGCTAAAACTGCAAGTAAAACAGCTTTTGACTTTAAACAGGGTAATCTACGGAAGCCCAAAGTGACCAATATTCTATTTTAAATGAACAATCATATGACCAAATACAGGCTTTATAAGGTAATATACGTGAAATTCTGAAATATTGCAATAATGATTTACTAATTTATTAAATGTTAAACATTGGATCTCCATAGAAATCCACATTGGCAGCTTTTGTCCCAGTTTCTGATTAGGACCAGGCAAAGTTTACGTCACCAGGTACTGGGTACTTGTCATGTTGCATAAGAGCATGTTGTTGTACAGCAGAGGAAGTGTGGATCACATGTGTGTTTTTTCCATAGCAGGATGGGAAACATGATGCTCAAACGAAGGGCAGCTGGTTTATCTAAATACAAAGAAATGTTTGTTGTGTTCTAGTCTAACTATGTTCCGTAAACTCATTCCTACCAACGGGGGCAGGTTGACGTCCTGTTGAGTCGAGGATCTGAAAGAAAACTGACCCCATTAACCTCTCCGCCTCACCCCTTCACATCTTGTCTGATCGCCTTGGACCCTCACGAGCTGTTTTCTGTGGGGCATACAGTGGGGCATTTAGACTCTGTGGGTAAAGTAGTTTGGTACTATCCTGTCGCTTTGGCCGTTCATCCCTGCATGGTCCCTATTGGTGTTCCAGCCAGCATGAGAACAAGGACACAAACTGTGAATCATCTTTGTATTTTTTAAATAAATTCCTCAGCAGGATTTACGGCTTTGTTTTAGCAAATGTTTTATTTCTTTTAAGCACTTGTTTTTTTGTGTAAATTATTCTTTTGGTTTATTTCCTTTTTTCTGTTGGGACTTTTTATTTATTTAACCAATTATGATGTATAGATATTTATTCTAGCAATAGTCTTCCTATTAAGATATACTGTGCTGATGCATCCTCTGAATAACTGAAAATAGCATATATATAAATATATATATATATAGATGATAATAATAATCAAATCTGCAAAATGATTTTCCTAATAAAAATGTGAACTGAGGAGTGTTTCTCGTCTTCTTGTATTTGTTCCTCTTGCTGGTGTATGACTCAAAAACGATTTGATAGATTCCCCTGACTTTTTGCAAAGGCATGAATCCTCATAACCTATGCACTTGTTCCCCTGACTTTAAAGGGGCCTTATTTCTCTTGTTGGGGTTTCTCTTTCCTGTAGTTGTGTTATATTGGTTTTTGTGGATGTAAATATTCTGCAAAGGCCAACATCCCACTCACTCCCCACCTAAATGCCTCAATTGGACTACTTTGATTACCTCCATTACATAGTGACATCACTATGTAACATTTGGCTACAACACATTTTACGTGACACGCTAAGGGGCGTCATCATTTCAAAACGGCTACATAATTCTTTAGACAAACATTTTTGAGTAACCTTCAGCTATGTATGGACTATTTGATGCAAGGAGACAAAAAATAAAATGGAATTTGAAGGCCATTCAACTTCTCCTCGTGGTCAGTGAGGAACTGCTAGAGCAGCCTCCCTCTCTCCTGTCGTTACCTTCTGGACATTTCTGCTGCGTTTGACACAGTGAACCTCCAGATCCTTCTGCAAACTCTCCAACAACGTGGAGTCTTAGGCTTCTGCTTGGGGATGCTGAGCCCAGTTGCTATGCAGACAGTGTGATGTTGACGCGCGAGGTGTGACCCTGCAGGGGACAAAGGCGCCTTACGACAGGTACAAGGCCTCCCGAGGGGTCGCTGGGGGCGTAGATCCACGCAGAAAGGTGAACTTCTACTGGATCGTAGGCTACTGATGCTTCAAGCCATCCGGGGGACAAAAAACGAGGGCGCATTAGAGTGGGCCAGAGAGCGTCTTTCAGTCGTGAGGGCTTCCACCGCTTTTTTCTCATAAAATGAAGAGCCCTGATGTAATTCACTGTAACAACACTGCCTCAACAACATACACGAGGGAGGGGGGGGAGGGAGGAGAGGAAACACAGAAGGTGAATAGGAGGAAGGAAGTGAGACAAATGGAGCAGGGAGAAGGAGAAAGAGGGGGCTAAAAGGTGAGGAAATGATAGAGAAATGTATAGGCATCAGCATAATTTCACACATCAGTGGGAATGAGGCCAATGCGGTACGAGTTATAAATAGCTCTCCTGTGGTTATAATAAGCAGCTAGAAGTGTGTTTCCATAGAGCTATGAGGGAAACTGCGGCTGTGGAAGTAGAGTGTTTACCTTCCTCTTTGTCTCTGACATGCAGTACATGTAGGCCCCGAGAACGAAGATTTAGAACAAGATGTTATCCTACTCATTGGACCTTTCTGTGGCCCTTTACCGCAGAGAGAACCGTCCACATGCATCCCATGATAATGCAGCACTTTAAGCTCCAGCTCGTGGTGGCGGTGGGCCTGCCAGGAACAGCAGGAGCGGCCCACACCTTCTCCGGAAGAGAAGAGTATACCGCTGGGTCATGGCGCCATCGTGTGGCAGCACAGAGTGGAGAGGAGACATTTTAATGTGAGGTGCACAGATTGACATAATATGCTTTCCGTTATTGGTTAAGTCCCAACATATGATCATATCAAATGGGGCCTAGAAATGTTATCATTTTAGCCAAATATTTGATCCACAAATATTGCTACCTCTACATTTCTCCAGTATGTATTGGTTCTCTTAATGACATTGAATTATACAAAAAAATCTATAATGCTCTCAGTTTGAATTCATTTAATGAACACTGATGTGATGAGCCTTTTTCTGATCTCTTTGAAAAAACTGTTCAATAAAGTTGGTCTGGTAAAGTTAAATCTTTATATTTATATATAAGAAGTGACATAGATATGACATGGAAAAAAATATATATATTTAAGATTGGATCAAATAAGATACTTTAATAGAAACAATTGAAAAATGTTAAAATTCTGACAGATTTTATTATATTATTAGCAGGAATCTGACAGCTAGTATAAAAACGATCAGAGATTCTATATATTCTTAAGAAGACTTTTAAATACTTTAAGCCACTACAGATCAAACAAGACTTTTTAAAGCTTTCACTAAACTCATACACACTGAGAACAGGAAGACATGAAGACTCAAGTAATATTTAATAAGGCTTTCATTCATGGAGCTGTTACCCAAGTCTTTACGCCTCGAAAACTCACTACATTTACAGGGCTGCACATGCGTTCCCCAACCCAAAAATATGACTTAAAAACATTGAAAAAGATATCCATTAAATACCCTCTTGTGTAGATGCTGCACTCGGTTGATGTGTGTGTGTGTTTGTTTGGGAGCCCCTGGGTTAAAGGTGCTGTCATCGGATCTGATGGAGGGAGGGAGGGAGGAGGAAGAGGAGGAGGAGGGGGGTAGAGGAGTGGACAGACACTGGTAGCGGAGGGGGAGGCGTTTGGATCGGCGAAGACGGGGAGTGAACCAGCAGAGAGGGTGAGAAAGCAGCGGATCTGGCCCTTTAAATCACAAATACAGCGCTTTCGGAGGTGAGTTTGGAGATATTCGGGTATTTTTCTCCTTGTGTTTAAGAAATGTAACGCGTCTGTGTGCCTCTGCAACCCCTGCTTCTCGTCACCGAGGGCGGCTGCAGCGGAGAGGGGCTTCATCAGTGTCACGAATCCGGTTTCCCCCAGCCCTTTGCCGGCAGAGAGGGAGGGGAGGACTGGGGACAGGGTCAGTGGAAGATTTCCGACAGCTCGGCTGGACTGTGAGGACCCAGAAGCCACTGTGTCCAAAAAACCTCTGGATTGTACATGCTCAAAAAGGTCGTGTGCTGACAATTAGCATAATAGCGGAACATAAAGTCATGCGCTCCATTCTCGTTGGATGAGTTCACATTGGCCACCGGAGCCTGCCTCCCTCTGAACATGTCACCACCCTGCTCCCACGGATAACAACCGGGGCCTATTTGCAGACCTGAAGCTAGTCTGGTATTCACTTGGGAAAATATATCTAGCTTTGATATGTGCACAAGGTCTGAGTGTGCTTGCGCGCACTGTGCGTATGCGTGTGTATGTGAGTGTGGATAGCCATGGGAGAGAGAGGACATGCTGTTCTCTCCATCAAAATGCCCGCATTGTGTTTTCACATGGTAGAGCAGAAAGCAGGGCCTATAGCGGAGGACATGGTTCCGTACTGCGGCCCGATCAGCTCCGGAGCTGCTGGGATCAATAAGGATTCATGCATATTTGCGCGTCTTCAGAGCGGCTGCATGGGCTCCTGATCGGGGCCTGTCCAGTTCTGGTGATGCTTTGTGTCCAGGCCTTGACAAATAAACTGTTTACTGTATAGCCTATATGTTTGTCATCGGCTTTACATTGAAAACCAAATACATTTGAGGGCGTATGAGAGGAGAGATTTGACAGTGGAGGGGCAGAAACTTCTATGTGTGCTGGTTTGTAGGTGTAGGCTATGCTTCCTTCGCCATAGCAGAAAGTTTGAGAAATCAACAGGCTAAATAAAACAAGGCACTCAAAAAGACTTAGGCAAAGCATCGTTCTCACTTGTAGCCCCCTGTGCCTCTGAGTTCGTTTGCTTTTATTGTTGATGCAAGTCAACAAATACTTTGACATGTCCACACTGTTGTAAGAAAAAGTGTTTGGCTTTTTGAAGAATCAGGTGAGGGTTTGACAACAACAACTATCCTCAAATAAGCTTGTAGTTTTCATTTGTTAGTGTTCATTTCTGGTAGTTTTTTCAGGCTGTTGTCTGTGGACGTTATTTTATTTCACAAGTGTTATTGTACAGTTCAGGACCCCAGGGTTAACATCTTGAGTTGAGTTTGAGCATGTGGTTGAGACTGTTTACTCATGTTAGGGTAGTTTCCAGGGTTGGGTGATAACCCCCTACCGACTGTTTGTTAATACAAAGTATTCCAATATGAAACTTGCTATACAAGGGCCGATAAATACAAGTGTTGCTATTAAAGCATCCTATTAAGGGAGCGTATATAGTGCAATAATGTATGAGAGAAATGCAGCATCAATTGGTTTTATCTAAATAAATGTTTCGTCGGGCATGTTTACGTTTCCAGAAAGTGATATCACTTGACACTCCGCTTGCATACTAAAATCAATACTTTGACATTATCGACAGCTTTATCTCCAGGGGATTATGGGGGTCAATTCAATGCTGCCAAAAACAAGTCTGCATGTGTGTGAGAAATTACAAAAAGCGAATACAACCTACAGAAAGAAAAAGGGGTTTAAGGGTCTACTTAGGGGTAAGATTTGGGCTCAGGGTGAAGAGGATTTAACTTATAGCGTCAGGTTTGGATGTAATAGAAATGCATTTATACAAATGCATGTGCGCACACACATACGCACACGCACACACACACACACACACACACACACACACACACACACACACACACACACACACACACAGCTCTAATTACAGACATGATTCTCTGAGCTGCTCCACATTAGGAGTAATTAAAGCAGGACTCTCCTCCCTGGAGAGGGCGACAGACAGAGAGAGACAGTCGTAACACTCGATGTTATGCACTGAGGGAAACTTCTACGCTGTGCTAAGTGAAAGAAAGAAGCAGGAGGTTTATGAAGGTTTTTTTTGTAATAACTCTATGACAGCACAGGTATAAATGGACCTCCTTTTTTGGATCGGAAATGCAGGGCTGTCCTATCTGATGGATTATAATGGTATCACTGGTTTTGGTGACAGATGGCATGATGTGAATGATAAGAAGATGATGATGACAGTTTGGCATTCAAGCAAGTTCCAATCTCATTATATAAAATCAATTATGAAAACTTGAACTACAATTTTATTTGTCCCGCTGAAAAGCATATTTCTGAGTTCACATTCAAGTTTTTAGATTAAAATTCAGTGTTAATTTCAACTACAAATGACTGTTTTAAGGCAGATTTCACAGTTTTAAGGCAGATTTCACAGTTTTAAGGCAGATTTCACAGTTTTAAGGCAGATTTCACTTTCAACAGCAACTATCTTAAATCCAGATGGGATCGGTGTTATGAATCATTTAAAAAAGCCCAGTTGTACAAAACTGCAAATGGACAAGACTAACGTTTTCTGTAACCTCACTGGAAAAACACTCATCTCACGCCTCTTGTGTCTTTCCTTTTTTACAGGGACAAGCCAATGCGAGCTCACCTGCAGTCCAGCTCCGGCGTTTTGACTTGGCATTGAATTGTTTTCTTGTCATTCCTGCACCGCTAACATCTCCATCCAGTCACGTTTTCACGAGAGTCCTGTCTGCCACCACCAGCCAGGTAACACTCTATTGTCTCTGTTAAGCCAACAATTATTTATCATGAATACTTAACATACATCTAAACATAATGTAAAGAAAGTATTTCAAGTTATTTTTTGAAAATAGTTCAGCTCCAGCCTAAGTTATACTGTGTATATCATCTCCATAAAGTGTTTATTGATCACTCATTAATAATGCTGTACTATCATTCAGTAACCTCACGGTGGTGCTATAGCTTCGTCAACTGAGGCCATACGACCCCATAAATACAGCTATTAAAAATCAGCAGAGGTGGGAGAAGTACTCGAGTAAAACTAGAAGTACTCAGATCTTGTACTCGAGTAAAACTAGAAGTACTCAGATCTTGTACTTGAGTAAAACTAGAAGTACTCAGATCTTGTACTTGAGTAAAACTAGAAGTACTCAGATCTTGTACTTGAGTAAAACTAGAAGTACTCAGATCTTGTACTTGAGTAAAACTAGAAGTACTCAGATCTTGTACTTGAGTAAAACTAAAGTCTCAGATCTTGTACTAGTAAAAGTACTCAGATCTTGTACTTGAGTAAAAGTAGAAGTACTCAGATCTTGTACTTGAGTAAAAGTAGAAGTACTCAGATCTTGTACTTGAGTAAAAGTAGAAGTACTCAGATCTTGTACTTGAGTAAAAGTAGAAGTACTCAGATATTGTACTTGAGTAAAAGTAGAAGTATTCAGATCTTGTTCTTGAGTAAAAGTAGAAGTACTCAGATCTTGTACTTGAGTAAAAGTAGAAGTACTCAGATCTTGTGTAGGAATACTCTGTTACAGTAAAAGTCCTGCATTCAAAATGTTCCTCAAGTAAAGTAGAAAAGTATTCTCATCAAAATATAGTGAAAGTAGCGACAGTAAAAGTAGTCGTTGTGCAGATTGGTCCATTTCAGAATATTATATATGATATGTTTGATAATGATTGATCATGAAAGTGTTCTCAAAGCTGGTAAAGGTGCAGCTAGTTTGAATGACTTTGTATACTGCAGGGTAGCTGGTGGATTTACTCCAGGTGGAACTAAAGTCTGATTTAACACTTGGTTATATTTCACATCATTCATCCAGATCTGTGAAGTAACTAAAGGTATTAAATACATGTAGTGGAGTATAAGTACACCATTTACCTCTGAATTGTAGTGGAGTAGAAGTACAAAGTAACTTCAAATGGAAATACTCAAGTAAAGTACAAGTATCTCAAAACTGTACTTAAGTAGAGTATTTGAGTACATGTACTTAGTTACTTCCCACCTCCCAAAATCAGTTCATAAATCAGAGGAGCAGTGTAAAACCAATGTTCATATACATTCATATGTATGTAAGTAAACCCAGGATTAAATGTAATAATTTCATCGTTGACTCGTAAAAACATTCCTTTCCTAGCCCTGAATATATTCCACAGAGCTAGAAGCAGTAAAAGCATGTATAAACTACAAAAGTATCATTAACAAAGGTAACAAAACTAAAATGAATAATTATGCAGCGACCCTTAAAGGTATAATCTCATTACCTTTGGAGCTTGCACCAAAGCATTAACATGTGTGCTGCAATGTAATGTGGTACAGCATTTGTATTTAAAGTAATCTATGTACTGTGGTTTAATGTTTTGCATAATAGGTGACCTTTACGTTTAGTCAAATGTATTTCCCTCTGAAAAGTCAAAGTGGCATATAATGAAATAACTTTAGATACAGTTTGAGGGTAAATTAACGTAACAACAATCAATAAGTTGACCAACTGCAACAACGTTATGTGATTAAATACAGCATATATGCACACACAATATATTTGCTTTAATTTAAATGTGCATTTCCAAACCAGAAGTAATTTGACTTCTATGTCAGATCGTCCGAGGGAAACAGAAGACACAACGTATTGAAAGCACGCCGGGTCGAACGTGCACATTGCTCCAAACTCATCTGCATTATCTTTCTCTCTCTCTCTCTGTCTCTTATTCAGTTTTCTCCTGTGTTGGTGTATTCTGATGGATCAGTATGTCTACCACTAATAATATCGCCCAGGCCAGGAAACTGGTGGAACAGCTGAGAATCGAGGCAGGGATCGAACGCATTAAGGTAGGAGGAGATATATGTGGAAGTGATCATTCATCTGATTGTTTTCTCCTTACTATTTCTTCCCCTTCCTCCTTTCTCCTCTCCAAATCAAATCAAAGTTTATTTATATCGCCCAATGTCACAAGAAACGTTGGTCTCAGCGAGGTTTTCAGATTAACGACATAGATTCAAGTTTTAACAGATAAATACTATTACAAGAAAATAATATAGATAGAGAACGCGACATATAAGTGGTCTTCAACCTTCCTACATGTTCCCACACCACTCCGCTCCTCCGCTCCCTTCACTGGCTTCCGGTAACTGCTAGAATCCACCTCAAGACACTGCGTACCATGCTGCGAATGGATCTGACCCTTCCTACATCCAGGACATGGTTAAACCGTACACCCCAGCACGTGCACTCCGCTCTGCATCAGCCAAACGACTCGCTGCACCCTCGCTGCGAGGGGGACCCAAGTTCCCATCAGCAAAAACACGTGGGTTTGCTGTCCTGGCTCCAAGATGGTGGAATGAGCTCCCCATTGACATCAGGACGGCAGATAGCTTGCACATCTTCCGGCGCAGACTGAAAACTCATCTCTTTCGACTCCACTTCGAGCGATAGAACTATTAACAAAGCACTTATATACTAATAAAGGGCTGGCTTATCTAAAGCCAGTTGAGTAGCACTTGAAATGTTTGGCTCTATGAAACCTGATGTACTTTATGATTCTGTTTTCTTCAAGTTGGTCGAATGCACTTATTGTAAGTCACTTTGGATAAAAGCGTCAGCTAAATGCAATGTAAAAAATGTAATATAAGACAAATAAAACAAAAAGAGAGTGAAAACACAATAAAACAATAGAGTAAATGCCATCAAATGTAGGACAAACATTGGGTAAAACTATAGGCTTGACTAAAAAGGAAGGTCTTCAACACCACAACAGCCCAGATGCATTATTTTTTGTATTGTCCATGTTGCAAGTCTGTGGTCTAAGATTCAAAATTGGCTGAAGACACTCAATATTGAATTTACATTTAAACCCTTTAATATTTTACTTGGGCTTTTAGATGAAGACCGCACACAGTTAATAAATACAACTATTCTTCCGGCTAAAATATACATATTTTTAAAACTCAATCAAGGAGTATTTCTTAATTTAAGGTGTTTGAAGAGTAGATTACAAATACAATCTGTTTTGGAAAAAATTATTGCCACAAAAATCAAAGGGTGGATCAACACGCCATGAAATGGGAATTAATGAGCTCTAACGAAGAGTGGGATTAAAGGAACAATAAATATGCTTTCCATGTTGTGTTTTTGGTGGTTTTTGGTTGTCAACCTATATTTGTTTGTGAAATGTTGAAGTGATCCTACTGACTGTATCTTTATTTCTTCTGTTTTATTTATTTTTATTTTTGTCTGAGATGGAAATGTCATCTCCTATATGTTAATGTTATGTCCACGTTGTGTCTTTAGCCTGTACAAAAAACACTGTCTGCCTCCCTAATTAAAACAGGAAGTTGGTTCCACAGAAAGGAGGAAGCTGAACGCTCCTGATCTAGTTTTCAGACTCTGGGCACCACTTAAATACCTGCTCACCCCCCCCCCCCCCCCCCCCCCCCCCCCCCCCCCCCCCCCCCCCCCCCCCCCCCCTTCTTCTTCTGCAGGTGTCTAAAGCGGCAGCAGACCTGATGAGTTACTGTGAGCAGCACGCTCGTACCGACCCTCTGCTGGTCGGGATTCCCACCTCTGACAACCCTTTCAAGGACAAGAAGCCCTGCATCATCCTATAGCCGTCTTCTGACACACACACACACACTCACACACACTTATATACACTTGTGCACATACAGGCACATATAAATGCACACATTCAATACTTAAAATGATCCTCAAACTCATGCAAGCACACATTTCAAGCCTACAAAGACATACAGAAACACACACACACTCCAAAAATAGCCACTCTGGAAAAGCGCCATACTCCGGAGCCACAGCTAGGGGGCAGGTATCTCGTTCTCTTGGTGGCTGAGATCAGTATATCACTGAGTATGATCCAAGGTGCTTTTGGTTATATTCGGTTAATTAACTACAAGTGTCAGCTTAACTTTGAAAGGGATTTGGACATTATTTATCAGTAAGAAAACCGGATTTCTTTCCTTCTTTTGTCAAAAAATGAAGGGGTTGTTTAAAGGATGGACTGCAGTGCCATAGGCGAGGAGTGGGAGGATGCATGTTGGCAACAGAAATGAACGGTTGGCGCTCCCAAACAGGGAGTTAAAACAGGCCTGAGAGCTTTGCCTACAAACCTATTGTGCTAAATCATGGCGGGTAATTTCGGAGCAAGTGGCTGAAGCCTTTGCCTTTTTCAAACTAGCATGTTCCCATCCAACAGACCTCTGCCTGTGGCCTCACTGCGGCCGTCTGCAGCCTTTGGCAAAACATCCAGCTGTGCCAACCTGTGCAGAAAGTCGTCCCTCGGTGCTGATCTGATGTCACCGTTTTCACTGCGGTTCAATATGGCTGCTGTTGGTTGAGATCAAAGTCTAACGTGACATCAGATCTACAGCAGAACATAGTTAACTGCTCTCCAAACACTCGAGCTATTAACCCTGGACGCTTACTGCAATTTTCTTAAGAAATACTTTTGTGTGAACTACATGTATGTTGCGATATTTTGTTGAAGCATTATTTAACAGATAAATATAATACTTTATTTTAATTATTGGTTTGCTTTGAGATAGGTGTTGCCCCTGGCTGGTCACGTTTCTCTTCCTGTTTGAGGCTAGATGCTACTATTAATCAAACAACAGGAGATCTAGTTGTCTAGGGGTATCACCTATAAGCAGATAACAGAAGTATCTTAATCTAGCCGCCCTGTGCTTTACCCCGAGGTCGCGCACTGACCACACCTTTACAGTCTGCAAGGACTGCATGGCTGGAGGGGAAAACCCAAACTGAAAAAGTAAAAGTGATGCTGTCTTAAAACGTTTAGATTAACCTTTCCCTTTCCTGCCTTCTTCACTTTTGTTTGTGTGTTTGAATTGGCAGTTTTTATAATGTTAATGGATGGAAAAGAAGATATAATGCATTAGATAGTGAAAAGATAAAGGTGTTTGCTTTGTTTGCATCTACAGTAGAGGAAGAGGGAACCACAGTACATCAAAGCAACCTGGCTAAACCAGTCTGAGAGTTTGGGGTCAGAGGCTGGGTCGGTAACAGCCAGCAGTCGATACACGGTTTCCTCTGTCCTCCTCTCCTCCACAATGCTCCTCTCTCTGACAAACCAAACGTGATTGTAAAAGCTGAAGTTGAAGTGAAAGAAAAAATGAAGTAAAGAGAAACAAACTAACTGTATAAACTTTATTTCAGACATGTGCAGATTCAGAAGTGATACATTGAAGAGTAGCTGTTATGGGTTTGTTTGTGAGTTTCTTCTGTCTATGGAGTCCATGGAGCCTGGTGAGTTGAGTAGTTCCCTGTACAGTGTTTGTAAGATACACAATCTAGACACAGAACCTCCCTCTCTGGATGTTGGATTTTTTTTAGTACTACTTTTTTTGTTCGGTCAGTCACATATCTGTCTTCATTTCTTCTTCTTTTTCTCATTCAGGATTTAGAGGCTTGGGATAGAGGATTGTTTAAACCAGTGATTCTCAAACTTTTTTCAATAATGTACCCCCTTTGAAAAAAAAATACCCCTGATCAGCACAAAAACGATTTGCTAGGGACAAAAGGCCTAAAGAGGTACAGTACAGCGATGCACCATCAGTGTCTGATTTATTAAAACAACAACCTTGTAACTGAGAAACACTTAAATGCTACATTTCAAATGTTTACAATCCATCACTAAATTCATGGCAAACCAATTTGAACATCATGCAATAACACTGAGACGACATTAGTTGCATTGAACTGATCTTTTTAATAAGTTGTACTTACAATGTAGTGAAACATGGGCTTGTGCTTCACTGAGGATCGTTGTCATTCTGACATGAGGCAACTGCAGTTATTACACTTCACGTTTTGAAATATGTGTAACTCTAGTCTATTAATATAAAACCCACACTGCTCAAACTTCGTTACTTTTCCTAAAATTGGTATATTTATCTTATCTTTTTTTTCATTATCATAAAATAAATCTCACGTACCCCCTGCAGTACTCCAACGTACCCCTAGGGGTCCGCGTACCCCCATTTGAGAACCACTGGTTTAAACCATAGATACAAAAACAAAACATCTGATAGAAACAAAACAACTGTTAGGTTTATTATCGTGTCCTGAACCAACGACCTCTTCACGGTGGCAAAAACCAACCTCCTTTAACACCGGAGCAGCAACGCTGTTCTCAAGTGTTGGTTATGGTCTGCATTTAGGACAACACACACTCATTCGCATAACACACTCTCTTGCTGTTGTTGTTTTAGGTTTGATTGCCCGAAGTCAAAGCTTAAAGGAGCACTAAATGACACGTGCTGCTTTTGATGCTTGATCCCTGAAAAGATGTGTGCAATCATATTTACATTGGAGCATTTAGCCGAGGCTTTTGTCAGCTGTAACGTACAAGACTTACGACTGCTGATGAATCTCAGGGGAGTTGAATCGACTGCTTTTTTCTGTTAGGCTATTTGATCATGAGCCTCCTGCTGAGTTTCTATTAGAAGCGGTGCGAACTGTTGAGCAGTGTGCACAGAGACAAAGCAGGCAGGGGGCAACTTTTGGGCATGTTTGCGACGGAATTAAATGATTATGAGGTACCCTTGACAAATCTTTGAATGTGTCTTTAAAGGAATAGCATGTATGTGCATTTCAGTGTGTGTTTTTGAGAGACACACAGTGTGTAAGAAGGCACAGTATCTCCACATAATGATGTTACTATCACTCAGCCCTCCAATGGCAGGTCAGGATGAGTCTGACCTGAGCAGAGGACACGTTGTGCAATATGTACGGCAGGGGTGTCAAACTCAATTTCATCACGGCCACATTCGCATTATGGTTGCACTCAAAGGGCCGGTTGTAACTTTAAGACTATAAAAAATTCATAAATATTTAATATATATATAAACTAATGTATTATATTACATCATTGCCTCTGCATTGAATTATTATCGGATAGGGTAAACACTTCATATTTAACTACGTCTGAAAGCAGAAGTCTAGGGCAAATAATTGCAAGTCTCTTCAGTGAGAACGTCACAACACGATTTTAAAAGACATTTTGAAAAAAAAAAGTCAATTCTGAGGAAAAAATGCATATTTAGAAGAAAAAAATTCAAATCTGAGAAAAGTCAAATTTGAGATGCATTGTGGGACATGTAGTTTATGGGCAACGTGCTTCTGTAAATCGCCATGTAACCGTATTACAAACATATTATATTCTTTGCAAGCTCTTGTGGGGCCACATTAAATGAAGTCGCGGGCCGGATTTGGCCCCCGGGCCTTGAGTTTGACACCTCTGATGTACGGCCTCCTCTCACTCAGATGCTACTGTGCTCATCTTTAAGAAGAGGAAAGAAGGGCCTTGTAGGAATATACAATAATGGGAAGCTATTTTTAATGTGATGACCAATAATGACCAAAAACAACCCAGAAAATCAAAAAATGTGTTCAGCTTGTTTTCCCCGCTCATCAAAGCCATTAAAGCAACCCCAATGTTTCTCTGTATAAAGTTAAGCTGGCAGCAAGTTAGCTTAGCTTAAGTGTAAGAGCAAATCCAGGACATTGAAGCCAATTTGACAAAGTGTTGAAATACAACTTCAGGATTTTGTGTGTGACGCCATTGGATATCCAGAGTTATACCCTTTCTTTTTTCATTTGAGCAGGGTTCAAAGAAAATAGTGGTAGGCTTGCTTTATGGGCAAGTGTTGACTTACTGTCTGTCTGGGGATCTTTCTGTCTGATTTCACCGCTGACGTTACATTGGCGGAAATTCTGTCATTGGATTGATATGTCCAAATTGACCAATCAGAATCGAGTATTCAATTAAAGCTGTGTTAAGCTAAGATAACCAGCTTCTGGCTGTCATTCAATTTGAGCAAACAGATAATGAAGTGGTAAACATCTTCTCTAAACCTCCCTGCAATAAATCCATTAATGGTATTTCCCAAGAGGTTAAACCATACCTTTACATTAGATATGTCCCTTTATCTAGAGTTAATTGTAGAGTTGTTCGAAATATAATAACTATACAAACAGAAACTTGACTGCAGTGACACACAGGAAGTAATGCAGAATAACTCATCTGTGTTCTTCCCCAGAAATATATACTTCAAAATTGGGCAATTTCTTGTCGAGGAAATCAGAGGCAGTCATTTCTTTGAAAAATGCATTTCAAATTACAACTGCACGAGAATCACACAACATGAAACAAGCATGCACACATATCAGCTCACACACATACACACACTGATGTTGTTCTGGATATGTCTGACAGATTCTATTTTTTACCATTATTGTCATTTCAGTCATTCCATGGCTGGTTGAGCTTAAAATCAGAGAGACAGACGACCTAAATTGCTGGTTTGGCTGACGGCTTCTCTGATTGGTTGGTTTGCCTTATAGTGGCGTATATTGTGTTGATGCTGGTCTTGGGGTTGTCAGGTCGACAGAATGAACAGTGTTAAAGTAGAACATGAAGCTTGAGATGGAAATCCCCTGGTGTTGTGACTCAAAGCAGGCGAGAGTTGAGGCTCCTCACCGGCTGACTACGAAATCAAACATGGCTGAATCCGCCCTGAGCCGTTCCCGAGACTCGTCCTTTGTGTTCTGATCTCCTGTGTATGCATACAGTATATGTATCTTTTTGCCTTGATTGATTATGAAGAAAATATATCTATTTTTTGTAACTGTTCTCTGATGTGCCATAACTCATGTTTTCTTGCACACTGTTAATATTTTGTGGATATAGCTGTTAAAAAAGATGATATTGAAAAGTAGATAACATTAATAAAAAGATGATATAATAACAAATACTCTTGTGCAATTTTTGTTTGTAACTTTGCTGACGGCACGCTTGCATGGAGGGCAATGTCAATTAAAGGCTTTGCCACAAAGCATGTTTGTTTTTCCTACTACTTCAACCCAATGCAACTTGATGCTTTTTTTATTTTGATTTATTTGTGTTTTATTTTGTGTCAATGTCAACATTTTGATCAATGATTTGTATTTACTTTCCTCCTAAAGTACTCCAACACATTGTACGTGATTGGCTAAGGGGTGGGACATCTTTTAAGCGGTTGACCAATCATAACAGAGCCGGCCAGCTAACCAATCAGAGCAAACTGGGCCCTGGTTTGGAGCTTTTTCAACATTGAGCTAACATGTCCCGTAGAGCCACTTAATACTAACCTGAAAATAAGCAGAGTAGGGCCCCTTTAATACAAAAAATTGCAAGATTACAAATATATTAAATACATGAATACAAAGAATAATGCAGATGTGCTGTAGGTTTGTGTTTTAATTAGATAATTGATGCAGTATCACACATTTTCTTGTACTGAAGGGCATCTTCTCTGCATTTCCCAACAACCAGACAACAATAACCATGATTGTTCAGTTATCTTTTAAAAGTTAAACTGTGAATATAATTAAGGGTAAGTTTTGTTAGAGCTTTTGTTTCTATTGTATGTTTACCCAGAAAGCTTCACAGCACCAACAAAAGCTGACCTACATAATGTGGTGAAGCTGAATGGGAGACATGGAACATGGACTGGATTCACTGAGGCTGAGCATGAGAAACATAGATCCTCTCAGGCGGAAACATCCGGGTTATTATGTATTTATTTCAGCAAGGACCATGCATACAAATACATGAATCTCAGAAAAGAGAAGAGATGAATTATGCCAGATTTGAGCTAATAGCTAATTTCCATCTGCAGTCCTCATGATGACGTCTGCAGCACTGTTTAAACATTCAAAACAACAAGTGCTTTCACTGTCAATTCATCTGTTTAAACCCTTTTTTACCCAAAACAGAAATGTAACAGTGGTGGCAGAATTATTCAGCAGGGCTGCACGCTTAATGATCATTTTAAAGATATTGCTAAATGGACTACAAATTGCATAATATGGCAACAATATGTGTAAATATGTGAAGTAGAGCTGCAGATGTAATTATACAAACTAAATAAAGAAACATTTTGGCCCAGATTACCTCACATTGCAAATCATATCAGTCAAACTAAATGCAATTAGTCCAGCCCTATTACTTAGTGTTTTTACTTAAAGTAGTACAAGTCCTTCATTTCAAATTATATTGAAGTTAAAGTGTATAAGTATTGGCATCAAATTAACTTAAAATAACTAAGTGAAATACTTATTGTG